TATTGTATCCCGATTCAAAATGTATCTTATTAAGTTATAGAGATATCCGTCAAAATGGTTTTCATATTGAAACTCGTGATGACAATAATGAGGAAATTCTCCTTGTTACTAAAAATAGCGGATATGGCAAACGAATTATTGAGAAAATTCCCTCTTTTTCGTCCGGATTGTACTACACATACATCAAACCCGTACCACATGTTACGTACAAGGTAATTTTTCAGAATGTTGACGCATTTAAAATTTGGAATGAACGCCTTGGCCATCCTGGTATAGGGATGATGCGAAAAATTATCAGCAATTCTAAAGGTCATGAGTTAATTACTGCAAAATTCCCGAAATCTTTAGATTTTATGTGCACTTCATGCGCTACAGGGAAATTGATCGTACGGCCATCGCCCGTTAAGATCCAAAATGAGCCACTAAAATTTCTTGAACGCTTTCAAGGAGATATTTGTGGCCCAATACAACCAACGACTGGACCGTTTAGGTACTTTATGGTTCTAATAGATGCATCTACTCGATGGTCTCATGTGTGTCTTTTGTCCACACGTAACCATGCATTTGCAAAAATTATTGCTCAAGTTATTAGACTTAGAGCACATCATCCTGAACATCAAATTCAATTAATTCGAATAGACAATGCTGCTGAATTTTCCTCAAAGGCTTTCAACGATTATTGTATGGCTTTAGGAATTCAAGTTCAGCACTCTATCCCATATGTCCATACACAAAATGGTTTAGCAGAATCTCTTGTTAAGAGAATTAAACTCATTGTAAGACCGTTATTACAAAATTGCAACCTACCAACTTCATGTTGGGGTCATGCAGTCTTACACGCTGCTGACTTAATTCAATTGTGACCAACTGCATATCATGTAGTCTCCCCATTGCAATTAGTACGTGGGAATATGCCAAATATTTCCCATCTGCGGAAATTCGGTTGCATTGTATATGTACCGATCTCACTGCCTAAGCGTACTTCTATGGGTCCACATAGGAAACTTGGTATCTATGTGGGATATCAATCTCCATCAATTATCAAGTACCTCGAGCCTCTTACATGGGACTTATTCATGGCCCGATACGCTGACTGCATATTTAATGAGGACCATTTCTCGGTATTAGGGGGAGACTTCAAGTACCAAAACGAATGCTAGGAAATCATCTGGAATGCCCAAGGCATTCCCCCCTTAGATTCACGTACTCTAGAGACTGAACAACAAGTTCAGAAAATTATAAACTTGCAACATATTGCAAATAACGTGTCAGAAGCATTTACTGATTATAAGGGTGTCACTAAATCCTCTTATCCTGCTCGCAATGCGCCTGAAAGAGTGGAGGTACCAATAAAAATCATTCAACTTCCACTTTCAAAGAAGAGGGGGAGAAGTACGGCCGCTACTAAGGATAATGCTACAAGTAAGCGTCCGAGGAGACCGAGGGCTAAATCCTCCAAATCAGTAAATCCAAGCCAATCTCAAGTTGGTAGACACCCAATAGTGAATAAAAATCCAACATCAGGACCAAATCCACAACCCGGATCAACGGTGCATCCAAATTCTGATCCTGGGATATCGGAACACCCTGACTCTATAGTTTTGGGAAATGTTGAGTCAAATAATGGTGTGAAAGAAATTTCCATCAATTACATAGATTCTAGAGAATCATACGATCGTAAGACTACTGTTGTCGACATGTACTTCTCCGCAGCAATTGCAGAAATCTTTCTCAATGATCCAGATCCCAAGACCATGGCAGAGTGCAAAAAGCGCTCGGACTGGGCTCAATGGAAAGAAGCAATTCAAGCTGAGATAGCTTCGCTCACTATAAGAGGGGTATTCACATCTGCAATACCTACACCTTCCAAAGTCTTTCCTGTAGGCTTTAAATGGGTTTTCGTCCGGAAACGGAATGAGAACAATGAGGTGGTGAGATATAAAGCGAGGCTAGTAGCACAAGGGTTCACGCAGAGACCCGGCATTGATTACAATGAAACCTATTCTCCAGTAATGAGTGGAATTACTTTCCGATACTTAATATCATTGGCAGTTCAAAATCATCTATCTATGCAGTTGATGGATGTGGTGACAGCATATCTATATGTGTCACTTGATTCGGACATATACATGAAGGTTCCCGATGGAATCCAAATTCTGAATTCAAACACAAATCGCAACATGTATTGTGTAAAACTACAAAAGTCATTATATGGCTTGAAGCAGTCGGTACGAATGTGGTACAATCGACTGAGGGAATTCCATCTAAAGAAAGGATACTCTAACAATGATGATTGCCCATGTGTTTTCATTAAGAAATCTTGAACGAAATTTTGAATTATATCCGCGTATGTTGATGATTTAAATATCATTAGCAGCTCAAAGGATATAAATAAAGCACGCAAACATCTAAAGAGGGAATTCGAGATGAAGGATTTGGGTAAGACCAAGTATTGCCTAGGCTTACAACTTGAGCACCGTCCTTCAGAGATTTTAGTGCATTAATAAGCCTATATCCATAAAATATTGGAGAAATTCAATATGGATAAATCATACCCTAATAAAACTCCGATGGTTGTTCGTTCCTTAGAAATAGACAAAGATCCATTTAGACCACGGGATATTGGGGAAAAGATGTTGGGACCAGAGATCCCATATCTCAGTGTCATTGGCGCACTTACGTATCTTGCAAATTGCACCAAGCCTGATATCGCATTTGTAGTGAACTTACTAGCTAGGCATAGTGTGGACCCAACTCGCCGTCATTGGACGGGAGCGAAGTGTATCCTCAAATACCTTAATGGCACAAAGGATCTTGGTTTATTCTTCAAGAAAAATCATGATCCCAATATGATTGGTTATATTGATGCTGGTTACTTATCTGATCCTCATAACAGAAAATCCCAAACAGGATTTGTATTCCTACATGGAGGTACAACTATTTCATGGAAGTCTTCTAAGCAGGCTCTAACAGCGACCTCTACTAATCATTCTGAAATTATTGCTCTATACGAGGCATCACGAGAATGTGTATGACTTCGTAGAATGATTAACCACATACAACAGTCATGTGGTATTGATTCAATCGAATCACCTACAATTATCTATAAAGATAATTTCGTTTGTGTTACACAGATGCAATTATGTTACATAAAGAGCAATATCACTAAGCATATTGTTCATAAACTGTTTTATCCCCATGAATTACAACAAAACGGGGAAATAAACATCTTGCAAATCAAGTCATGTGATAATCTCGCTAATCTATTTACTAAGTCCTTACCAACTTCTGTGTTTCAAAAATTGATACATGGAATTGGTATGCGGCGACTTCGAGATTTGCTAGAATCAGGGGGAGACATCTCCTAAATGTTGACATGTACCAGCATCATATTATACTCTTTTCTTTCACAAGTTATACTTATAAGGTTTCTTGTTAAAGTTTTTAATGAGGTAATATTAACATAAGCATGTGTCATATTTCCTATTTTTTCCATCGGGGTTTTTGTGGAAAATATCAGAGACACATATTGCCCTCACAACTCATACATGGTTTTTCTCTGAAAAGGTTTTTCTTGTGAGTTATCTAAGAGGCAATACCAATAATATATTGTCATATTTTCTCCTAATTTTTTCACTGGATTTTTACAGGAGTTTTAACGACATATCACTTTATATTGCTTCTCATATTTTTCCTGAAAAAGTTTTTGGAAAGTAATCTATATATCGTATCTCCAATATTTTTCTCCACTGGGGTTTTAATGGGATACCAATAACATAGTGATTTATTTAAATCACACTCATTTATGATATTTTCTTCTTATTTTCCTATAAGGTTTAAATGAGTTTTTATAACATATCTATACATATTCCTCAGATTTTTTCCACAGGGTTTTTCGAGGAATTCAAACATACAGCTATATTTGATTTCAAAGAAGATTCGATCAAAGGGAGTGTTACGAAATGGTGCCTGTCTACCAACAGACACCTAATCTACAAATGATCTCATCCGTCAAGCCAGCAGTTAGAATTAGAGATTAGATTAGCAGTTAACTTTTCTAAACAGTCACATCCGTATGACGTCCGTACAACGTGACCCTTTACTTATATATATATATCTAAGAGATTAATGAAAGCAGTGGTTGTTTCATAAATCTTGTTCATTTTCATTCACTACTAACAGGGACAATCAGTCAATTAGGCGGGTGGGTGGGGCGGAAGTGGCCGGGGTCCGGTCCGGACGCCTGATCTACACCACTGTGCACCGTATCTAGTAGGCTGGGGGCTGGCGCCACGGCCTAGACAGCGCCCGCGCTGTTCCCCGATGACCGTCCCGATCCGACGGCCATAAACCCACTCGGCTGGGGCCCGTTGCTACAGTGCGGTGGCGGTAGCGCGGTACGTGCCGCGCTGCCCAATTCTCGCCGGCTGCATCATTAAAGCCTGGGGCGTGGGGCCCGCGTGGCATGGGGACGGACGGGGTTCCCCCACCCCTGCCCCGGCTGCCCCTGTCGGTCGCTGCACTCCACCGCCACCGCGAACCGCCGGTAGGAAACAAAAGCGCCGTTCCCCAGCCCAGGAAGGCAGCCCGGAACCACAACCGCCCCTCGTCCCGTCCCGTTCCGTCACCCCACTCGCCTCGCCTCCGCTGCCGGCCTTGCTCAGTCTCCCTCCTCCGGTCCTCCCCCACACCACACGCGAGCAAAAGCACAAAAGCCAACCCACACCGCACCACACGGCAGCCGCAGGCGGTCGGCCCCTGCTACCCCTAGGAAAACGACGAGACGGATACGTGTGGGGGAGGAGTGAACCGAGTGATAGCTTACCAGCCAGCCGACCCCGACCCCCAGCAGGCTGCAGCCCCTGCGACACAGGAGGGAGCGGGCCGCGTCGCTCTCACGGCGCCGGGTCCTCGTCGCCGCGGCAGGGCGCTAGGGCAGGCATGCTCTGATGGAATTCAGGGGCCAGGAGGAGGAGCCGGAGGAGCCCGTCTCGGAGGAGATGGGCGCCAGCTCCGCGCCGCCGCCCGCCACCGGCCCCGTCCCCGCCCTGGGGAACCAGAACCACGCCGCCGAGGCAAGGTACCACGAGTGCCTGCGCAACCACGCGGCGGCGCTGGGCGGCCACGTCGTCGACGGCTGCGGGGAGTTCATGCTCGGCGGGGACGGCGACAGGCTCAAGTGCGCCGCCTGCGGCTGCCACCGCAGCTTCCACCGCAAGGACGACGCGCGGCGCCGCCACCAGCTCCTGCTCCCGGCGCCCGCGCCGGTGTTGTCGCCCACGACCCCGGCCCCGCGCGTCCCGCTGCTCCTGCCGCCGCCCCACCCCCACTACGCCGCCGGCGCAGCCGCCCACCACCCCCACTACGCGCCACCGCCGTTCCCGTACTACGGCACGCCCAGCGGCAGCGGCGGCGGCACCACGACCGAGTCGTCCAGCGAGGAGCGCGGCCCGCCGTCCGGGGCCGCTGCCACCGCGCAGGCGCAGGCGCAGGCGCACGCGCAGGGCCACGTCCGGCGGAAGCGGTTCCGGACCAAGTTCACGTCGGAGCAGAAGGAGCAGATGCTGGCGTTCGCGGAGCGCCTCGGCTGGCGGATGCAGAAGCAGGATGACGCGCTGGTGCAGCACTTCTGCGACCAGGTCGGCGTCCGCCGGCAGGTCTTCAAGGTCTGGATGCACAACAATAAGCACACCGGCAGCGGCGGCAGGAGGCAGCCGCCGCCGCAGGGGCAGCAACAGTCCCAACAGCAACCGCAGCCGCAGGCGCACCAGCAGCCGCAGCAGGAGCAGTAGCCATGGTGGGAGACAAGGCTCAGCAGCAGCACCACCACCATTTGCTTAATCCCCCGCCTCAATTTTTTTATAGGCTCCGAGAGGGGGTGTGGGATTAAACAAGGGAAGTCAGGGGGAGCTCCTATCCTTTCTTCCCTTCCGTTTTTGGTTTCACCTTATCCTTCATTTTTTGTAGTCACTTCTTTCACCATCCTCTTTTGCTTCACCATTCTTGCTTGCATATCTTTGCTTTCTTCTGTTCCTACTAGTTTGGGGGATCAATTGGAAGGAGGAGGAGGAGGCACTGTTCATGCTTTGTAGCTACAATCCTACTACCTTATTGCCATTTGACCCCCTCGGCCAGCAAGAGGTTAACCAATCTGAATTCTCTCTACTTTGCTCTGAACGTTTATATTATAGTTTCATCTTCACTTAATCACTAGAGAATATAGCTGGTGGTCTCAACTCCCTTCTAATGCAGCATTTACATTTAGGCCCTGTTTAGTTCCGAAAATTTTGGCTTTTTCTAATGCAGCATTTACAAAAAATTGTCCAATTTTAGTTCCATTTTGAAACCCAGCATAAACTAATGTGCAAGATTTGATGTGACGGAAATCAAAATTTTTGGTTTTTGGCTTGGAATTAAACGGGGCCTTAGTTCCATTTTAATCTTGAGTAAATGATTCTCTTCAGGCAATTGCTAAGCAAAGAAGAATAGAGTACGATCACGGTCTCCTAAGAACAGCTAATGGCATGGTAATCTTGAGTTCTCTTCAGGCAATTGCTAATTAGAGAGTAGCAGCCAATATCTGTAGCTAGGATATTCTGGGGAGAAAGGCTGGATGGAATATGGTGGGAAACAATGCTTGCATGCAGATTTTATTATCTGTGATACCGCCATTAGAGAGACTCTTGAAGGTTGCATCAAATGCTCATACCTTTGTCTTTGTGTGTGAGTGTGTTTGCCATTCAATTGGAATTGTACTTGCCTGCTGTGGTGTCTTAAGCTTAAACTGTACTTGGCTCTAGATGCATACCATTACTGCCATGCATGGAGCGAGTGTCATTTTCCAGACCTGATTGGCTCCATTAATGGAGGGCTGGAGCTCCAAGTCTCTGGTCCGGGAGGGCTTGGGTATGGCCGGACGGTCACGTACTCACATGGCTGCTGTCGCCTACTTACTCGCCTCTACAGTACCTTCCAGAAGAGGATTTTACACGGATTTCGTTTCATGAAATTGTGAGGCCCATGCTGCAAGAGATGAGGCTGTGAGAGGCAGATAAGGATGTTATGAATGCGCTCCAAGAGAATTGCAAGGCATGGGAGAGAAAAAAAAAGGGTGGATAATGAGAAACTTGGCATCACAGGATTTTTGTTCTCTGATACCATCCATCCACTTTTTTTTTTTGGATGAGTCCGCGAATTTGGTTGCTTTATTGTCTAAATTTTAAAGGAATCTGGATGGTTTGGAGGAATGTTGAAGAAATTTGTGAGAGAAAAACACGGTTCCAAATGGAAAAAATAAGCGGATCAAATCGGGTTTAAAGACACGAACGGGTTTCTTCGAAGGTTAATTGCAAAATTTGGACAGTTTTGCCAAACCAGTTAGAAAGGACGTAAAGAACACACGATGCCACTAAACCTCCTATATCCAGATGTTGGATATTTTCTTCAACATGGCTCCGTTCACGTGTCTTTAAATTTGGCTTGATCCGCTTTTTTTTTATCTGAAACAGTGTTTTTCTCTCACAAATTTCTTCAGCATTTCTCCAAACCATCAAATTTCTCCAGAATTCTTCGAAGCGAATCGACACTATGTCATACTACGGTATTGAGTTACGTACAAGTTTTAGCATAGAAAAGTTCCTGCTGTGAAAAAGTAGAATAACTAGCTAGCTGTGACTTGTAAGCTTGTAAGCAATGTGACTCACCGGCAGCAGCAGCAGCTGCGGTGTTGAAAATCAAGTCAACAAGCTTCCTTGGCCTCTTGCCCCACTCGGCTTACCTCTATCCGGTTTGTTCGGTTTACTTTTTTAATCGGACGGAACATTATTTTTTTTCTCGTAACATTTCAATTAAGATTCAGTAAGCCAGCTTTGGTTCTGAAAATAGGTGGCGATTAACAGCAACACAGCAGCAAGTTATCTCATTTTTTTTCCTTTTTACTTCTGAAGCCCATAAATTCTACAAAAATCATATAAAATAAAACACTTGCAATAACAATGCGTTGAGTGAGCCGGATTTTTCAGGGGCTTGGGCCCTTGGATTGGGGACGAATTCTTTGAATATATGATTCTGAGATTCTAAAAATACGTGGGTTCAAATGCTCCAGAATCTAACCAGTTTCTATGGGATTATAGGATCGAGAGTGATTATTACGTCAATCAAGTGACTAAGGGCCTATTTGGTTAGTGACTAAAACTTACCACGTCTAACTTTCGATAAACTGTGGCTATCATAGAAAGTGTGGCAAACAAAATTGAAGTCACACTTATGACAGAGTTTGACACGAAAATAACTCTATGACATGTGGGGCAGATTATAAAAAAAAGTACGTACCATAACTATAGCCGTGCCATAACTATAGCCGTGAATCAAACGGCTACCAAAAAATCGTGACATCACTGATCTTTTTTGACATGGCAAGCTTTGGTCTCCAATCAATCACGCACTAACCTTCTTTTTCACATGCCAGCCCCTCGCTTGCAGGCATTGAGGCATGCGCCTACTGAAGTTGATTTGGACTGGTTTGCCCCATGTTTAGTTCCCACCAAATCCAAACCATTTCCGTCACATCAAGCCCCATATGCCAAACGCCAGCTTGCAACGATTGGACAATGTTCTTATCACCAGAGTCGAAAGTTTGCCGGCGCCGATTCTGCTCGTAACTAAACATGGGCTTGCTAATTGTGTTCTTATCACCACAGTCTAGGCCATGACTTTGTAAGCATTTGTTTATGATGTGTTTGACTAACCACCGAAAATATCAACAACGGCTGCTGAGGCAAGATATTGCTCTGGCTCCACCCTAGCACCGGCGGCCGGGACCCTGGCCTTCGCAAATTTGGATAAGTTGCATCTGTTAGGGGAAAAAAACATGTGCAATGCCAAAAAAAAAAGTTAATATAGTTCCGTTCAAAATTTATCATAAATAAACAGGTAATATTTGCTGTGTTCTAACCGGTAGTACGCTACATTGGTGCATCTACAAAAAAGTGTTATTTACTGTGCTTTACATCTATTCAGTTCAATTAAACATCTAGGGCCTGAATTGCCACAAATTGAAATTTCCATAAGAATAAGAATAGAAATTAGTGGAAAGATCATTATCTATTGGCTTCATCAGCAGAATCAGGTGAACTGCTGACATGATTTCTTCCAATCAAAAATCAGTTAAGGTGTATGACAGCACCTTTCGTTTAATTTATAAGTTAAATATAACTTATCAGCCGATCAAACGGGCCACAGAATGCAGTGACCCTGGACTTCTGCACAGTTGCTGAACTTTAGTCCATCATGGTGCTACTGAATGATCAGTCCTATCAGTTCTGATAGTTTTGTCTTTTCTTCTGCACTTCTGACAGGTCTTATTAATAATAACCCAAGATGCTGAAAGCGCTGAACTATTCAAATCAAGAGCTGTTTGGTGTGCTTCCGTGTCTTAAACCCAATACTGCGATTTTTCAGAGCTGGGCCGGGTTTAGATTGCAAGTTTTTTTATTGTAAGTTTTTTTATTCTCTCTCCATCACATCAAATCTTTAGATACATACATAGAGTATTAAATATAGATAAAAAAAAACTAATTACATAGTTTGATTGTAAATTACGAGACGAATCTTTTGAACCTAGTTAGACTATGATTAAACAATAATTGTTAAATACAAATAAAAATACTACAGTATCAAATACTAATTCATAACCCTAATCTAGTTCCCTTCCATCAGTTTAAGCGAGACTTTTTCTAAGAGCGTGTTTAGTTGCCTGAATTTGATAATTTGGGTTATTGTAGTACGTTCGTTTTTATTTGGTAAATAGTATTTAATCATAGACTAATTAGGCTCAAAACGTTCATCGTGGTTTCCAATCAAACTGTGCAATTAGTTTTTTTTCGTCTACATTTAATACTCTATGCATATATCGTAAGATTCAATGTGATACGTACCATAGCACTTTTTTGATTTTGGGTAGTAGCTAAACACGCGCTGAGGGTCGGACCTAAGAGACTGACAACGATAATCGACTACTCCCTCCCTCCGTACAGAAAAAAAAAACATAATTCCTGTCCGATAGAGGGAGTATTCAACTGACACAATGACGTCAAGGAAGTACTACTATTAAACTGTTTGCCTCGTTTAGGCCATGTTTGTTTTACCATGCAGACTATAAATTGCAGTTTGCTACAGTTGCAATATGAAGGAAATAGATTATTGGATCGTAACAACCTTAATCCCTGAATTACAACAATACGTGACCCGTTTGTTTCAACTTGTAAACTGTAACAGCTGATATGCCGCAATCCGCTACAAGCTAAAACAAACAAACAAACAAACAGAACCTTAAACGTGTGTAGCCAAAACATATTGAGCAGACCCACGTGATTGTGAGCACTATGAGAAGTTGACATCATCATTGTATTCCAAAGGAAAACATCAGTAATTCGACAACGGAATGATCGTCACACAAGAAAGAATGCAGTGGAAAGATTTTTGCCAGATATCTTTTGAGGGGAAAACACAATCATCATCAATAGCGGCAGAGAAAGTGTATGGGTAGATATGTTCTCAAGGGCCAGTTTAGTTCCCTAAAATATTGTCCCTGAATTACAACAATACGTGACCCATTGTTTCATCTTGTAAACTGTAACAGCTGATATGCCGCAATCCACTAAGCATTAAATATAAAACAAAAAATAAAACTAACGTGTGTAGCCAAAACATATTGAGCAGAAATCCACGAAGATTTAATCTTTTAAGACCTAATTAGAAAATCAGTAATTGGACAACGGAATTCACCAAATAA